GTGCAGCAGGAACACCCCCATCCCAGCTCCCCCTGCTCGGGGTGCAGCGGGGCACCCCTACCCCAGATCCCCATTCCCGGGTGATGCCATGGGGCATGAGAGCACTGGGACCTATGCACCAAACCCCACTGCCCCCCAAAAATCAGCACCAGGGCACTGCAATTCTGGCACGGGCTGATTCCACACCCATGAGCTGTCACTCCTTGGAAAAAGACCTTTGGCCCGAGGGGACCACCAGGCTGGGAAATACCGGGGCACACCCACCCACCCCGGTCTGGGGGTCTCGCTGTGCCCCCCCCGGCCCTGCTGGGTGGGGGAGGAAGCCAGCCCTGCCCCACGTCACGGAAAGAAGCCGCCGCGGCCCTTTCCTCCCCTTTATTGCCCTGCTGATGTGTTTGTGTCCGCCGGAGGAAGCGCGGGGACAAACGCCCGCACACGCGTCTCCTCACCGCCCCCAGAGGGTCCCGAACACGGCCGGTTCCACGCGGGGGAGGCTGAGGCAGGAGCAGCCACGCGGTGCCGGCCGGGGCACCCTGATCCGGGTGGGCAAAGGTGCCCCAGTGCAGCCCCCGCAGCCGCGGGGGACAGTGCCCTTCCCCTGTCCCCCGACACAGCGGGGGCCCCCAACCCCTCCTGCTCCACCCGGCTGCGAACACGTATCAATTAGGGTTTGATTCATGATTCAGTCCGCGGGTAATTGCATTGGGGCTGGAGGCAGGGAGGGAGAGGAGGAACAGACATCTTCAGCCTTACCCCACCGCAGGGTGGTCGGGAGGAGGGGGCTGGTGTTAGGGGGTAGTAACCCCTCAAGCCCTACATGCCACGCCCCCGCAAGGCTCGGGAATGGAGATTCCACATGCAATGGGCATGGGGATCCTGTGCCTGAGGTATTTTGTGGGGCATGAGCTGTCCCTCACCCACCCCGGGCTGGGATGTGCTGGAGGGGGGCAGGTCAGCAGGACCCATCCCCATCTCTCACGTCCCGTCCCCACACTGCATGGCAGCTCTGGTGCCCTCAAGTCTTCACCTGCCCATTCGTGGGGGTTCAGTGCCCCCCCCCGCAGGACACACCGGCCCTGCTCAGCTCCTTTCCCTCCGTCAGCAGCTTTCAGCTCTTTCCCGGAGAGCGTTTCCTTCCCTTCATTTCCCAGCATGGGTCCTCGCTCTGGCCTTGAACTCACAGCCCCCTGGAGCCCCCCGGAGCCCCCCCATGTCCCCCAAGCAGCTGTGCCCCCAAGGGGACCAAGGTCACGGCTCTTACACCCAAAACCGTCAGCACACAGGGCAGGGATCCATCCAGCTGAAGAGACAGTCGCAAGAGGGAGAGAACCTCCCCCCCAAGCCACCCCCTCCCCAAATTTGGGTGTGCTCAAAGGCGCGGGAGCACCGACGACCAAGTGTTTTTCCACCCACGTACTGGGACGCAGCCTCCACCTCCCCAGAATGTGCAGCTGGTTCAAGGAGGGTGGGGGGCTCAGGGCAGGGTCCTGCTGGGGGTGCTGAAGGGGCTGCCTCCTTCCCAGCACCCCTCACCCCGAGGGCTGGCCGCCGGGTGGAACACGGCCGAGATCGTGGGGCTCCCACCGCCAGCAGGGCGAGGGGACACAGGGAAGGGGGGACTCAAAGCCCCAGACACACGGGACCCCCGGACATTCCTAAGCACATCACACCCCCACACCCCCAGCACACAAGGGACCCCCAGCCCCGAGACCACCGCCCCCTCCGGGACCTCCCGGGTGCCCCCTTCCCCGGGGTGGCTCACGGTGTCCTGGAGAGTCCCCATGGCGCGGCCCAGCTCCTGGCGCGGCTGCGGGAGGGCGTGGGGGCCCCCCCGGGACCGGGACCGGCCCCCCCCCGGTCCAGCCCATTTCCTCCCGGGATCCCGCCGGGATCTGCATCTCCCCCCCAACGCCGCCTCCTTCCTGCGTGGAGCGCAGCGTGTCCCCAAGCCCAGGGTGGGGGGGCCACAAGACAGCACCGCCGCCCCCCATCCCGGGAGCCCCATCCGTGCCTCAGTTTCCCCGCCGGGCTCTCCCAGTGGAGTTCGCAGCCCCCCACAGAAAAGGGGGAGATAAGCGGGTACAAACGTTTTGTGTTCGGGAAACCCACCTCCCCCCCGCGCCGGCGCGAGAAAGGGTGGGGGTCCCACAACCCCCAGTCCCATCGGCCCCCTGCCCCATGCAGCACCGAGCACGGTGGGCCGGGAGCCCCGGCTCCTAATCCCGCCCCCCAGCATGAACACCGGGACCCCCCGCACCCCCGGGACCGAGTGGGAGGGGAGGCGGGTGGGATGGGGGTCCTGGGTGGGAGGGGAGGTGGGTCGCGTGTGGTGGTTGCGAGGGGAGGTGGTTGGGGTGGGAGTCCCGCGTAGGAGGGGAGGCGAGTGAGGGTCCTGGATAGGAGGGTCGAAGGGTCGGGAGTCCCGGGTGGGAGGGGAAGTGGGTTGGGGGTCCCGAGTGGAACGGGAGATGGTGGGATGGGGGTCCCGAATGGGAGGGGAGGCGCTTGGGGATGGAGATCCCGGTCGGAAAGAGAAGGGTCCCGGATGGGAGAGGGGTGCGGGGGTCCCTCGCGGTGGAGGTCCCGCCGTCCCTACCTGTAGCGCCTCGGGGCCGGGCGCGGCGTCCCCCGCCCGCAGGAACCCGCGGCTGAAAAAGCGAAGGAGCGCGGTGAGGAGCCGCGGCACCATCCCGGCACCATCCCGGCCCCGCGCCCCCGCACCGCCCGCGGGCTGCGGGCACGCCCCGCCGCGACACGCCCCGACACGACACGCCCCGACACGACACGGCCCGCACCTGCTGCGCGGGGTCCTGAGGGGCGGGGATGGGCGGGGGGGCGGGAGAGGGTCGGGGCATCACTGTCCAATGTGGGGTGAGGGTCCCCGGTGTGGGGCGGGGGTCAGGGTGATGGTGCCGATGTGGACCGGGGACCAGGGCATCACTCCCCGCTGTGGGGAGGGGGTCCGCGTGAGGGTCCCAGTGCGTGTGTGGGATGGGGTTGAGGGTCCCGATGTGGAGAGGGGGTCGGGACATCACTCGCCGGCATGGAGAGGGGAGAGGGGTGGGAGTCCCAGTGTGAGAAGGGTGACGGTGGGTCCCGGGGTGATGCCAGGGTCCCCAAATGGGGAGAGAGTCAGGGCATCACTGCCCAGTTCGGGTGGCCCCGCTCGGGCCGTGGGGCTGGCAGTGCCCTCCTATTGCGCAGACACCGGCTGTGCCCCCACGGCTCTGGCGTCTGGGGGGACACTCGTTAAACCTTGTTAAACTCTCCTCTCGTGAGGCTCGGGCCACCCCCCTGCCCCCTTCTTGGGCAGGGGTCACCTGCCAATCTCCCCCCGCCCCCCGTGCAGTCTCCAGATAAAGCGACCCCCACACACATTTGAGTTGGGGGGTCCTCCCCTCCTCCTCCGTGGTGGGGCACTGAAATCTCACCCCATCCCCGGCCCTGGGGTAACTCTGATGCAGAGCTTAGCACAGAAGGGCTCCCGTGCCTCCCATCCCGTGGGATACCCGCGGTGCCCTACCCAGCACCCCTCGCTTGGATAGGGAGGGACCCCCATGTTGGAGACCTTCATAGGGTCTGTTCACCCCCACCCTCCCATGTAACCGCGTCGCCCTCGCTGAGGAATGATCACCCCCATCACGTCTCCCGCCCTCTCCCAGGGACAAGTACAGGGATTTTGAGGTTCTGCCCCGGGGAACCCACGTGGAGGATCGAGGTGCTCGGCCGTGACACGGTAGCCACATGCCACGCGGTGAGAGGGACACCGGCAGCGCGACAACCTCCATCCGTCCTCATTCTCCGCCTCAGGGCAGAGGAAGCTCTGGGCTGGGGGAGGAAAGCCTCCCGCTCTTCTTCCTCATCCCAGGAGTGTGTGTCCCCAGGCACTCCCGTGCCCCTGGTGCTCTTCTGGGACGAGGTGCTCTGGGGATTCGCTGGTGGCTCGTCGGGGCTCAGCCCCCGTGGCACTGTTTCGCAGGGAAATGCCACCTCGAGGCACGGGCCGAGCAGGGGAGGGTTTGGGACGCCCTGCATGTTGCACCCCGCATCCCACTCCCCGCACCCCACTTCCTGCAGCCCGACCCCAGGGATGCCGGGACAGGGGGTCCCGTCCCGCAGGAGGGTCAGGGTGGCCGGTGGAGCCGCGGGGCCATCTAGTGGCCAGAGCCACCGGGGCCACTCCAGGGGACTGATCCCGGGGACTGATCCCGGGCACCCTTCCGCAGCCCCCCCAGCCTCAGAGGTCCTCCTGCCCCCGGGGGTGACCCAGGGCGACAGGCACCTCTTCCCGGGGTGGCACAGGATCACGGGCTCCTCACCCCGAATCAGAGCCCCTCCAGGACAGTGTCTCACCGTGCCCACGGCCCTGACCAGGCCACCACCAGAGCCACTGTGTCCCCAAGATCAAGGCGTGGGGTCCCCAGCTCTGGGGACACCCTGCTGCAGGGACAGAGTGTCCCCCAGCCCGGACAGGTCCTGCCCGCACAGATGTGGGTCCTGGGCTCCATGAATGAAGCAGATGCCCAGTGGGAATTGCAGATTCCTTGCGGGGCTGGCAGCTGGCAGGATCCGTGCCAAGCCTGGCATGTCCCTGTCACCAGAGCCACCCATGGAGCAGGTCACAGCCCGGGGGACACAGAGTTATTGCTGGGCACAAGGACACAGTGTGGGGGTGTCCCTGCATCCCTGTCCCCGACTTCTTGCCCAGGGGTGCAAGGGATGGGACACAGGGGGGCAGAGACAAAGGGGTCTGGGGACAGGGGAGCAGGGACACAGGGGAGCAGGGACATGTGCTGCAGCACCCCGTTGCATCCACGCATCATTGCTCATCTCCCAGCTGGCTTGTCAATGACCCGGTGTAATTACGAGCTGCTCCCTGGCTCTTCTGTGTGCCCCAGGAATGGCATCCCTTGGATGGGAATGTCACAGCACTCACATGGACACACGCAGCCCTGGAACCCGGTCCTAGAGCTGCTGGGAAATAACTGTGGGTGGTGGGGAGAGGCAGCAGTGGGGGCTTTCCTGTGGTTTTTCCCTGTTCCCAGCCCGGGTTGGATCAATCAGCGCTGTGCATCCTGCCTCTCCCCAGGCCCTTGGGGAGCAGCCACCCCGCATCCCAGCTGGAGGGTGTCTGATGGCATCAGAGGGAGCAAAGTTCACACAGGCAAGTAAATATTAACACTTATTCCATGGAAATGGAATATTCCACACCAGAGACACCGGAATAAACACACTCCAGCTTTTCCCTGGGGGGTGCTGGCACTAAATGGTGTCAAAGTGCCAAAGTGGAAGGATTTTGAGGGGCCTTCACGCCCTGTGTAATCCCAAAATCCCATTTCTCCCCATCCCTAGCCCTCTTTGGGATCACTCTCAGGAGGGGCAACTGCAGCAACTCACCCCCAGAGCAGCATCTGTGGGGACACTGGGAGGGGAGGGGAGAGCAGCCGGCGATTCCCGGCGCGGTGAGTCAGGTCAGATCAGCGATGCTCCGGTAAACTGCGGCACCGGGACAGACTCGGGGCCGGGTCCTGGCTCTGGGGAAGCACAGGGCTGTGCCACCTTCCGGGGCATCCCTGTCCTCCAGTGGTGGCCACTGCAGGTGGCACAGGGGTGTCTGGGGCTGCGGGCTCTGCCCGTGGGACGGCAGAGCGGGATCCATGGATGAATTGAGGTGTTACTCCTCCAGAGCTGCTAATCCGGGATACACTGACAGCCCTAAATCCCATCAGAAATCAATCCATCTGCTCTTCCGCTCGGCACTAATCCCCACAATGGCACCCGATCGATATCCCATTTACTGCTCGGTGGTTTCCCCATGGATAAATCCCGCCCAGAGCCTGGGATGCAGCCACCCCCCCCCCCCCCCCCCCCGAGGGCTCTGGTGTCCGGGCAGGGCAGGGAGTGCTGTGGGGCAGGGAATGCCGTGTGGTTGTGGGGCAGGGAATGCTGCGGGGCAGGGAATGGTGCAGGGCAGGGAATGCCTTGTGGTTGTGGGGTAGGGAATGCTGCAGCATCCTTCACCCAGGCTATGCCAGCCACAAGGCTGGGGGTGCTGGGAGGTTCCGTGGGACCAGGCAGGTCCATGGCATGGACCTACTGGGAGCAGCGGGAGAGCTGAGAATGCATGGGAGGGAGGAGGAGCTGTGCCTGCAGCTGTCAATAGGTGTGCACATGTGTGTGTGTGTGTGTGCACATGTGTGTGTGTGTGTGCACATGTGTGTGCACCACAGACAGCCCCAGAAACACCCAACACCCCGGCAGGGTGGGCTCCAGGATCAAGGTGGATCCCTTGATCCACCACAGGAGCCAGAGCCTGGAACCATCTCAGGCTGGGCAGGGATGGGGCTGTCCTGGCACCAGCCCCTCAGTGGGGATGGTCCCCAGAGGTGCCAGCTGCAGAGACCTGGTGGCAGCAGGCCCAGAGGTCAGGCTATCATTGGATTTGGAGTGGGATAACAAAGGGATGAGGAAGGGCCCGGCTGATCGAGTGACACCGCTGATGAATAAGTGATGAAGCCCTTGGAGGGTCTCTATGGAGACAGTTCAGAGCACGGCAGGGGCGGGGGTCCAGCAGCAGCCCCCACACCCCACGGGGCTAATTAGGGGGACGAGTGTGATGGCAGAGCCCTGCTGGTCCCACCAGGGCAGCCAGCTCCCTGCCAGGCTGAGATGGCTCTTGGCTCAGTCTCCACACCTCTCCCCCCATTCCTCAGCTGCTTTCCCAGCTGGCTTGGCCGGTCCCCACGGACAAGCTCTGGCCATGGTGGCCACTGGCATCTCCAGCCTGGCTTGTGGGCCTTCATCCCCGGGGTCACACACAGCCTGTCCTGAGAGAGTGTCCTGTGTGTGCAGGGACAGAGCACACCCCCACTGCACCCTCACAGGGGCGAGGGACATGGGACATCCTGGGGACAGCCTGCACCCAGGTTAGCATGTGTCCATGGGGACAAACTGAATCCAGAGGGACACAACGTATCCATGGGGACAGCGTGTGTCTAGAGGGACAGCATGTATCCATGGGGACAGCATGCATCCAGAGGGACAGTGTGTGTCCATGGGAACAGCCTGAATCCAGGAGGACAGCACGTGTCCAGAGGGACAACCTGCATCCAGGGAGACAGCACGAGTCCAGTGGGACAGGTGACATCCTTGGGGACAGCGTGCATCTGGGGGACATCCCGTGCCTGGAAGGACACTACACACCTGGGGACAGCGTGTCTTGAGGGACAGCAGGTGCCTGAAAGGACAGCATGTGCGCAAAGGGACAGTGTGTTTGACAAGGGACAGCACATGCCTGTAAGGATAGAAGTTGCCTGGAGGGACAGGATGTGTCTGGAGGGACACATGGATTTTGGGGACAGCACATGCTGGAGTGAGAGCACACAGCAGGAGGAGGGACAGCGGGTGCCTGGGGGACAGCAGGTACTGGGGGACAGCAGCCCCCAGCCACGCCACAATTCCAGGTGTCCCAGTGGCACTAAGGAGGATCCCAGCTCAGCCCAGGCATATGGAGGACAGGAATTTATTGCCAAATAGAAGATGAGGAGGTGACATCCACTGGCACTGCCTCCATCACTCTGAGCTGACCCAGCTCCAGCTGCAGGACACGGGGACTGGGTCACCAGCTCCTGCTTGTCCCTACCACTCT